TTGGTGAGTTGTAATAACTTGAAGAGTAGAAATAAGCCACGACTCTGAAGAATGTGCCACAATGTCAAATCGTTTTCCCATTGTGATTCTAACAGGTGAACCGTTTTTCGCCAGCCTGGGAACATCGTATTCGAACAGGAGCCTGTGCTCTACTTCAAGTTGCCAACCTCATCAGTTTCCTCTACTTTGTCACTAACTACACAACTGGTGATTTCCTGATGAAAACCATACTTACACATCCATGTAAGTTGACTTGTCAAATTTATTGCACAAACCTGCATTATTGGCTCTATCAAATCATTCACAATTATGATCAACGTATTTCACATGACTTTGACAGCATGAAGGTACTGAGAATAGTGCAAAGTTGAGATCAATTGGCCAAAACACTGAAATGTTGACATAGATAATATAAATTGAGGTACAAAATTGTGCTGATTTCGTATTTACAGTTCTCTGGAATGCGTTTGCGTATTACACAATCCACAAGTTCTATTTATTGTGGTACTATTTCCAAAGCCACGCGAAGACAAAACGATAATGTATTCTACGGGACAGTTAGCAGTCAAGACATTAGTGATGAGAGATTTCGTGCCTAAGCCTTTTGGCACTTGTGGACTCATTTTTTTGAATGCGTTGCATACTGGAATCAAAGTGGGTATTGTGTTTGAATGGAATATGATTGAAGCAATTGATCGAAGGCAACTATGTTTGAATCACTCCTACTATTCTCTAGAACCTAGTCAATTGTTTGACTTCTGATTGCATCATAATCGATTTGATTACTATTGTTTCATTTGCCTGTGCAACTTTGCTACATTTTGTTGAGCGATTTAATCAATTTATTGTATTTCTCATTTTAGACAATTTCTTCCTCATATTGTGCATATCATACAGTGCCCAGCAATTACCATACCTAGTCACAATGAAAATGAGATCAACGTTTTATGATTGAGTGCACCTATTTGGGTTTTCCAGCTGAAAAAATGACCCCTTTAAAGATAGCACCCTAATAAATCTGGTATTTTCCATGTTCTCTATTGACTTCATATTTAACTTTCTTTAATGTTGTGGTCGGCTCCGAAAATACTCAGTTCACGCACCTTTCAACTTGAGCTCCAACCATCTTTTATTGCTCAGACATAATTGAGAGGGAAATGTGGTGACAAACTTAACAATTGGAGTTATTTTTGAGCTGTAAATGATGAAATTCCAGTTTTCCAGGCATATTGCAGACATTCTCAACAATGTCTGAGTTGATTGGAGGGAGGTATCCTGAAGCCGAGTCTCTGGGGAATATCAATGCATCGACCTCTCAAGATGATCAACAGTAAGCACACTGAATGTCCCCCCCCCCACCACACCCTCCACCTCCTCATTAGATCTCTCGAACTCCAGTGCTAGTCAATGGATTAAATTGTCGTCCACTTGGTGACTACTAAATAAGAATTCACAGGCATCCTGTTGCTTAGCGCATAATTAGGATAAACGTAAGTGCAGAATAAGGTGGCGTTTCGTGACTGCTTGAACAGAGTTTCCTCTCTTCATGTTTAGCAAACCTGCTAGAACTCTTAGTCTGGTAGGATATCTCAACACGACTATATGATTGAGCAGTTACAGTAGATGTATGGATCGTATACTGATAGATAAAAGTCACAACAATATCCTTCTCCTTTACTCACTCATGAAGCCGGCAATTCTATGTTAGATACAAAGTGACAACGGGTTGACATCAAGTGCGATTTAGTCAATTACTCACGTTATTACAGGTGTATTGTGGAGTAAATTTTGCATTAGTAGTAGCTATCCGTGCCATATTAGAGTTGGAGTACTTCGTTTTTACAACATTCAGCTCCTATGATGAATATAGAATTTTGGAGGGGAGGGGGGATTGGGGGTGGGAAAGGGGGTGAGAATTAAAGTCAAATGGAACGAAACTGAATTTTTTGTACCTAAAAGCGGGTGTGCGATAGACTTATCTCCACGTGGTGCACTCTGGGGAACGTATACTCATACGGCAAAAAAGTCTATTAATCGGCAGTTGACTTCTGACTTCAAACTACCAAGACCCCACCGCATTTCACGTTCTACTAATTCCACAGTACTCACCTTTTTTTACCTTTGTCTGTCTGTCTCTTTTACGTCTGTGAATCATTATTCTGACTTTGTGTCAGTCTGTCTGTCTCTTTTACATCTGTGAATCACTCTTCTGTTTACCCCTCTCGATTTTTTGCCACTTTGATGTTCATTTTCCTTTCCCACCCCTTGACTTTCTTCTACTTTGATGGACCTTCCCTCTTCTACCCCTCGACTTTCTGCTACTTTGATGCACCTTCCCTCAACCCTTGGACTTTCTGCTACTTTGATGAACCTTCCTTCTGTGAAGGCCTGTCTCTTTTACGTCTGTGAATCATTATTCTGTCCCCCTCTCTCGACTTTTTGCCACTTTGGTGTTCCTCTTCCTTTCTGTATGTATGACTTTTTGCCACTTTGGTGTTCCTCATCCTTTCTGTGAAGCCTTTTTACCACTTGGATGTTCATCTTCCTTTCTGTGAAGCTTGTTCTGTCCCCTCTCGACTTTTTGCCACTTTGATGTTCCTCTTCCTTTCTGTGAAGCCCGAAGTCAACTAAAGGGCTAATGATACCTATCATAACGCCTGCCATTTAAAATAAATAAATGTACCTAAAAGTGGCATCATTCAAGGAAATAGCAAATCGAAAACTGAACTCATTTCAAGGTCAAATTTTAAATCTTATATCTATTTCACCAGGAATTAGTCTATAGCATATTTATCTTTAATTGAGTGCTCGTTCAACGCCATTTAATGCATATGACTTATTAGAAAGTCATATTCTATATACAGCACAAATAGGGTGGTTCATTAAAACTTTCCAGGCACCTTTCCCGCTTAACTTTTTTGATAATAATGACCCCATAAAGGAAGATTTGGCTTGCATTACCTATGTGGAGAGTCTTAGTTGCCCTGCATTGTGCTCCCTATATCAATCAATAGCCAAAATTAGCCAATTGTTTGTATTTATTACACATCCATTGGTATAATTTTTACTAACCCTCGTGAAAATCAATAAATTTGACGATATACTCAAGTTACCTTTAAGTTTAAAACTGCATGTACTCTTTGGTTCAATGAATTTGTTTATAACTCTCCACTACAATTTGATCCGCTTGTTTGTCATGTAATCAAATGATGAAATTTAGTCAGGTATACACATTGTAGGTTAGTTTTAAGTTGAACGGCTACTTAAAGTTGAAAGTAGTATCATTGTTTCGCTTACTTAGGCCCTTATATAAAATATACACATCAATGCTATTTCATCGACACTTCAAATACGAAGGTCCCAATGTATAGGGAATGGTGCTTGGTTCAATAGGATTTACGAAGGATCCATATGAGTTCGTAGATTCTGCAGAGACAATCGGCACTGTGAACATAAAACCGTAATTTCAGCCAGCCCTACTTTTTTGTTGTTGGGGGGGGGGGGGGGGAGGTAAATTGACCTTCCACAGGGAAAGCAAACTACCAATCAACATTTCATCAATATTGTGATAAAGGTCAATAATTCATTTAAATTCGTTGAAATTTCTGAAGTACTAGTGTAGTTATTCTGTTGTGTATGCAATAACTGTTCTTACCTATATTAGGTTCATTCAAAATTCATGGATATGGACAGGTATTATTGCGTAACCTTTCCATTACCACTTTCACAGTGTTGCATTTTCATCTCATTGACGCCACCGTTGTCAAAGCAGACATCAGGTGGACACAGGCATGAAATAAGCCCTACAAATTCTGAAGTTCGTCTCAAGGTTTTAATAACGATCATCTGGTGGTTAATTCCGCAAATGCGAATTCCATGGAGCGGGCTTTTGGGTGAACTTTTGCCTTGTTTTGTGTAAGAAAATGTTCAACTGAGCAGATGCAAATAATAATTCACAAGGATCATGTAAGTACCCTCATTCAAGTAGTTTTATCTTTGATGCCAGCCATTAAAATTAGATTAAATTAGGTCATTCTAATGGATATTAGTCATCAGTAATATAGAGGATCGCTACACTAATAAAGCCTGAGTGGCTCAGAAATCTCTGTGGCAGATTCTCCAACACCCAGCTAGACTCCCAGAACTAGATAAGCTATAGTCCAGCTACAGAGGATGCAGTTGTACCGCATGGAACACATTTATTCAGTATCTTGTAGGTCGTGTCCAAACAGGGAACTGAGTCATAATCAGCATGGCGGATAAGGTTAAACAAACGAAGGCTTCTAATTGGCCACTGGTTGTACGGCCGCAACTCCTGATCCTAGAGTGCGCACAAGCGATGAAGGAACTATATTATAATTACTTAATAAATAAGTTAATATTACCTTCTACTTTTTCAGATAATCATAACTGAAATAAAGATAAAATAAAAAATAAGCCTGAATGAATTAACGTTTAAATAGCAAATGCAATATCACAAGCGAAGAAGGTAAAATTTGATTTACTTAAAATAGTTTGCCGCCTCCATTATTATAAGTAGAAAGTTGTTATAGGACTAACTGCTTGGGGTTTAATAAAAGCACCAAAAATTGATTGATAGTGTAGTAAGAGTGATTTGCTGCTTTAATTTTTAGGTTTGAGAAATTTGTAGATAATATTTATGCGGCAATAGTGAAAACGTTTTAATTATGTTTATGGTGCACGCAATTGAGTGAGTGGGTACATTGCTCGAACTTTCCCGCACCACCATCCAATGAGCTTACAACAAACAAGTGCTTAAACTCGCACACTTCTTACACACTCACAATGCAATTCATATGTAAGCATTATCCTTCACCACCACCACCACCGCCACCACGAATATTTCATGAACAAAGTCACTAGCATCGAGCTTTACCTCAGTGCTTCTTTATGCATTATCTTCTTTCTCGGTTATCAAATCTACAGCATCGAGTTAGGTAGGCCGAACCCTTTTTATTAACATGCATTTTCAATGGCGTGAAAAGAGAAACAACCGTATCCTCCCATATCCTATGAAACCCGACGAATACTCTGGGGATTTGAGGTGAATAGAGTGTCATTTCTTAGTCATCTACATTTTCTAGAATCCACAAGGAACAGACTACACTGAACTCGTGTCAGTTTTTGCAATTTGGCTCCACTTTGCTGCTTACTCTCTCATTTGCTTTCTATTCAACCTATTCAATTTTCCTCATGTATGCGTGACTTTTTCACTCTAGTCAGTATTGTTTCAGAAAAGAGAAGTGATAGCATTAATATCTCTTGGGATCATGGCTGCCTTCTATGGACTCACGTTGACAGGTGTCATAATTGCAATAATGATTGGCATGGCATTAATTGGCAAATGTCTTCAAGGAATCAAGGTTCTACCCCAAGTTGTTGGATTGTTGGTTCTCGCCTATATCCTCCCACTGTTGGATAAGCTTCCTTGGTTGGTGAGTCACTCAATGGAAGATCGATGAAATCGTAATAATTTTACTTTTTCATGACGCTTGTTTGCGTTGATGGGAAGATAAAAATAACTTTAAATAAGCCAAGGGGCAGTTGATTTCTGCTCTAATGTTCAAAAGACAAATATTCCAATATGTTGTTGCTGTTTCAAATTGTGAGATTTAGACATGCAGAGTGTCATAAAATAGGAAATTGAAGAAACAGCAAATGTTTTGTATTGAAATGGCACTAAGAAGTTTCACCACCTGCCACCATCTCTGAGCTATTTCATTTCCACTCTATTTGCGAATTGGTGTTTGTTGTTTTGATTGATTTGTCGATTTGGTCATCTCCTCAAATCAAGCTTCTTTGGAAGGAAAGTGGAGTAAACGAAATCAGTAAAAGTGCTGTTAGTCAAATTTCATTGACTAAAACATTTCAAACATTTCGCTACCTAATGTTTTCAGACTGGGGTGTGCGATAGACTTACCTCCACGTGGTGCACCCTGACAAGGGGTGTGCGATAGACTTACCTCCACGTGGTGCACCCTGGTGGGTGTGCGATAGACTTACCTCCACGTGGTGCACCCTGGGAAACGTATACTCATACGGTAAAAAGTCTATTAACCGGAAGTTGACGTATATTCCTACGGCGAAAATGTCTACCAATGGGCAGTTGACTTCTGACTTCAAACTGCCATGACCCCACTGCATGCCATATTCGAATGCTTCCACGGCACTCAACTCACCTTTTTCTACCTTCGTCTTTGAAGCACTCTTCTGTTCCCTCCCCCTCTCGACTTTTTCCACTTTGATGTTCCTTCCCCTCTGTGAAGCCTGAAGTCAACTAAAGGGCTAATGATAGCTATCAGAACGCCTGCCATTTGGTATAATACGTCCTCAGACCAAGTGGAAAATGCCTCAAACTCACATTGGTCTAGTGAAAGCACCCTGAAGTGGCATTCGTTGGCAGCACACATTTCTAAACTCCTCCTGTTCCCTGGAAGTATGGAGTCATTGGTTTAATCACCAGACAAAGGAGATTTTCAGCTTTTGGAGTGTGTGGCTGTTCTCGATTTTCCAAAGCGAATCAATGGATCAAAAACACATTGATCAAGATGAAAGAAGTAGTCATTTGTTGTTTGATTGGCAATTGTTCTTCTTCAGTTTAGGACATCTCAAGTGCATGAACGATTTTGTGGTCACGTCGTGAAAATAATTTTGACCACACTGCTAGAGAGGTGAGGCATAGTTAATTGTAGTTCGACGCAAAAAATTGTAGACCTGTTGATGCGCCTCAGTTAATACTTCTAAAATGTGTCTAACTGATGACATGATGGCTATGGATGCTGTTTATAATGGCAATAGTGGTGCTTGAGAGGATTGAGGCAGAATCTGAGTTTCTCCTCCAAGTCTTTTAATGTAAAGCTTGCTATTTTATATGCAAGAATTTGCAATAGAAGTGAACTGAAATTCATACTCTGTTCTCTCTATTAGAAAATCTCACAACATGTGATGTACTCCAATTTTGTCTACTCCGGCTTCTATGCTCAAGTAGTCCGAGCAATGCTAATTTGTTGTGACTATGCAAGCGAATCCGAGCCGATCACTTGGAGGCGTCTGATGTCTGAGAGCATTGGATTCACCGCCTTTACCAATGTCTTTATGCCAGCTTCTTTCATTGTTTTTTCAGACTGGAAACAATGGTACGATGGTGAACATGAAGTAAGTACATCTTCCAATGCAACTTCAGCTGAATCGGTTTGATATTCCATGTGGCTGGTCCAAACAGGCGTATGATTGTTGGATTCGCACAGTATTTGAAAAGAATAAGACAGTTGTAAATTTGAATAAGTGAAGAAGTAGGGAGATTATATTTTGCAAAAATCTGTTAGAATTCCAGTTGAATATCAATGCCTATAACCGCTTATGGTTATAAAATGCATATTCATTTTGTTCTCTTAAACAGTGGAATCAGGTCGAAGTGGATTCATAGAAAGGTAATTTGGCAAGGTGAAGAGGTGAAGTGGAACTTTTAAAAAAATGCTAATGAGAATTAAAAATGAAAGTTGAAATGTTCTCCGTCCTTCTGCGTTTAATCGGCAAGTTCATTGAATTAGTGCTTATTCTTGATGCATCCAAAAGTGCCACCTAAGACGTCAGCACAAGTTTGACCACACACTACAACTTTTTAATTGCACCAGGAAAAGTAAATCAAAATGTATAGGATTATAATTCGTTGTCTAAGGCGTCCTGTTCTTCAATTAATTTCCATGTCGGAAATTGCAATCCATAAACGACACTATTTTGTATCAATTCTATTTCAGTACATATGGAGTGGTTCATTCAAATTGGTTCCCAAGAAGCGTGTAGGCAAGGCAACTGAGATTCGAACCCTCTCCCTCCTTCGACTCGCATTTCGCATACTTCAAGTGGCATTTCTGGCATGTGTACACAAGTACTGCATGTGTGGTGTCAACATTATCAGCATATTGTCACCAAGAATTGATAGAGTGATTAAAAATCAGATCGAAATTTCTGACATGTTTGTAATCAATTATGCAACGGCGCTGGTACTCTTGCGATTCAATATCTACTATATCATCTACTATAAAATATCACGATTGGTTGGTGACTTTCAACAATTTCTCCTTTCACCAGCATTCAGTCCAAATTCTGATAAAATGATTGGTGGGAATGAAAATGTGAAGAAGGCTTGGAAGAAGACAAATATCATAGAGAAACTCTTCAAGGTAGGTATAGAAACAGAGTGTCTCATGCCTGGTGGACCGTGTTGGACAATGAGTACAGTGACATCGTCGGAAATTTGGAGGTAATTCACTAATTTCAATGCTAATGAGGTGGTTCTTTCAAGATGTGATATTTCCCTCAACAGCTTAGTAGTTGGCTAATGTAAAGTGTTATCTGTGTATGGTGGCGATTTTGTTTGAGGAGATCGAGATGACGATGAAGGCACGGCATAAAATGAAGGATGAGTTAGATGCAAGAAATACTATGCTGGGAGAGTGATTGTGAGTTCAAAGTAACATGCCTCGTGAGTAGAGGTTGTGAGAATAGTCTGTTTGCATGGCAATGAATAATTCGAAAGGACGGCACTTAGAATGGAGCTAACTAAATTCACCTGACTGCAAAATTCTGGGGTTGGTTTATTCCATAGAAATCCTGTTTCCATAACTTACGTGAATTTAAACTTTGGATTCGCTCGTCAACGATGAATGGAACACTGCTGAATTTCTAGGATAGTAAAATATCGTTGAATAGCTGAATGTTTGCTCGGAATGTTACCATAGAACTCTGTAATATAATAAACATACGTTTGCGCGTGGTTATACAATGTTTAATTCGCTTTTCATTTGTTTTTTTTCAGGAAATTCGACATCGGATTGTATAATTTTCTCAAATAGTGAGTGGAAATAATTTTTTGTGACAAAAAATTATCTTGAACAATGAAGTAAGTGAGAAGTTGAATGAATTCGAATACCGAGTTATATTGATTGTTTGCTGATGGTTGTGTCTAGGACACAATATTGCCAGTACTTGAATTGAATGTGTAAAATTTGAATCACGTGAATCCTATTGAACGCCTTGAATTTAAATAATGTGATTTATTCAATTGGAGTAATAGTTGGATGTTTAGTCTTGAGGCTTTTGTGTAATGTTTGATGCCTATAAGCAACGATGACTTTCTCAGTTATAATAATTAGCTGAATTTGTTCAAAATATGTGTGAGTGTACTAGTTGACTTAACTCCTGCTTCAGTTACGTCTACATTCCATGGATGGATGTGGTGAATGGGGTATTCTGCAGAGGTGATGAAGTTGAGAGAAGCAAACTGAGTTCCCTTCTCAGCAACATCAGTGCTACCTGTGGTGCCCTACTTACGTTCCTCTTCGTTCTGACATTTCACCACTGGACCATGGGAAATAGTGAGTTGACGTGTATTCCAGTTTGGCATTGTAAATGCCAATTTTAGCCAATACTCTCAGATTACAAACATTGCTTTAGCTGTTTGCTCACAATGAGGCAGGTAGATATCGATTGTTTTAATTATGAGAAACATTGATCGTTGAAGGAGAGGACACTTCAAGAGAAGCATCAAATCTTCAGAAGGTATTGGCCTAAGATGTCAGTCCACAACATATATATTTCACTAATCGTTAACTGGATTTCAGCAAACGCCAGTGCTCAGTTGGCATTACTATCGATTTTTTGTTTTAATCAGGAAATTCAATCAAGTTATCCCCCAGTGGTAGAGGTGACAAATTGTCTTGACATTACATTCACCAGCATGCAGTGAGAATATGAATGAACTGGCATAACTAAATTTTCGAATCAAGTTGAGTTCATATGGCTGAGTTAAAAAGTTAAAACTGTTTACCTTCATCTACTGCTAATTGATATGTGCCTGATATGTGCCTTTTTTTCCACCTCCAAACACCAAACCCCATGATTCTGCTTTCTTTTAACAGAAATTTGGGTTACGTTCAGTTTCACATACTGGTTGATAGAGAGAATTGGCATTCAGTACTTCCAAAAGAACAATATAAGTGAATATTTGGTGAGTTGTAATGACTTGAAGAGTAGAGATAAATCAAGTCTTTTGTGATTGAGCCATTGTGATTCTAACAGGTGAACCGTTTTTCGCCAGCCTGGGAACATCGTATTCGAACTGGAGCCTGTGCTCTACTTCAAGTTGCCAATTTCATCAGTTTCCTCTACTTTGTCACTAACTACACGACTGGTGATTTCCTGATGAAAAATATGCTTATACATCCATGTAAGTTGACTTGTCAAATGAATTTCACTAAGTTGCATTAATGGCTCAATCAAATCATTCACAATTATGATCAACGTATTTCACATGACTTTGTCAGCATGAAGGTACTGAGAATAGTGTGAAGGTGAGAACAAATGGCCAAAACACTGAAATGTTGACATAGATAATATAAATTGAGGTACAAAATTGTGCTGAGTTCGTATTTGCAGTTCTTTGGATTGCGTTTGCGTATTACACCAACTACAAATTCCAGTTTATTGTGGCACTATTTCCAAAGCGTCAAGAAGACAAAACGATCTTATATGATACGAACAATAGGCAGTCATGACATTACTTGTGATGAGAAACTCTGTGCCTTGAGCATTTTTGCGTTTTTGAAGGAGTGATGTACTTGGTAATAAGATATAATTTATCATAGAATAAAATGGAGCTAATTGAATAAAGTTAAAAACGCCAGATTGCAACCTTCTGTTCTGTGGCGATGCGTACATTTTACCCCATGATTAAATTAAAATCAATAATTGATCTAATTATCACTGTAACATTTCCTTTTATGTATTTGTAAACAGTTAATACATTTATTCGTTTAATTTCTCATTTTAGACAATTTCTTCATCATGTTGAGCCTATCATACAGTGTCCAGCAGTTTCCTTATATATACGTAATGAAAATTATAGCAAAATTCATTGATTGACTCTACTTGTTTTATGTTTCATTTAAAAAGAGAAAACATCTTTGAACAAACCCAATTAAAAAATCATTGCTTTGTTTTTCTTTCATTGGTTTTTCTATTAAATGTTTAATAAAACCTTGTAATTTGGAGCATTATTATTATTAAGTGTCCAGTCAAATACGTAAGTGCACACACATCATCAAAACTTCATTGATTGACATCACTTTGTAGCGGATTAGCTACCTCAATAACCTTGACTATTCTCAGAAAGCTCTATGGCAGTTTCTTCTAACTCGAAAGTCCCCGGGAATTAGCTAAGCTAAGCCAAAGTTATAAAGGAATAGACGAGTTGTACGGAGCACGTTTATTCCGTCAGAGTATGGGGATACCGTGTGTGTCACGGAAGGGAACTAGTCATACAACATGGCGGATTTGGTAAAACAAGCGAGGGTCATTGAGCTGCTATTGGCTGCGTGCTCTTGTCCTCAATCCGTACGCGAGGTTGTACAGCCGCACCTCAAACCTATGTGTACGCGCATGCGATGACGTGTCCCACAATACTCCCCCCCTAGAGCGTTTGTAGGAACCTAAAAGGAGAAAGAAAACGCTCGACATATCGAGTGTACATAGTCGGCCAGCCGGGAAGGGAAGGCAACTTTTCGGCCATAGCGAGTGTAATAGGGTTCAGGTTGAGGAGGGGACGGAGGGGGAGCTGCAGGGGCCGAAGTATCTTCGGTTAGGGACTGAAGTGGTGGGGGGGAGGTGGACGAGGTTGGAATAGGCTCTTCAGTTTTTGGAGTTGTAGGACCGGGGGGGTGAATCCTAACCGCGGGATTTGGTATAGGGCGCTCCAGGTAAGCCGGTTTTAAACGGTCGATACTAACGGAGTCCTTTTTCCCGTTGCGGTCCAGAATGAAATATTTTGGTTTGCGTTTGAGGACTTTGTAAGGTCCTTCGTACGGTGGTTGTAGAGGTTTTTTCACTGAATTCACTCTGACAAAAACGAAGGGACATGTGGATAAGTCTTTAGGAATATGGGTAGGCGTGTTATTCAAACGAGTAGGGGTTGGTCGGACGGCTCTGAAATGTTCCTTTAAACGGGCAGAATATGACAACGGGTCTATGGGGGCTTGGTCTGGGAAGTTAGAGATCATCTCTCCAGGGAGCCGGAGCGTTGTGCCAAGAACGAGTTCTGCTGGGGAGCATCCGAGATCTTCCTTGATAGTATTTCGCACGGATAGAAGAATGATTGGGAGACGTTCCGCCCAGTTTAAACCAGAAGAAGTGGCTATAAGGGCAGACTTAAGCTGTCGGTGAAAACGCTCGACAAGACCATTGGCTTCAGGGTGATAAGCGGTAGTGCGGATGTGTGTCGATCCCAAAAGGTTATTTAACTCCCGGAACAACGAGGAGGTGAATTGTGATCCTCGGTCTGTCGTTATAATGGCTGGAACGCCGAATATGGATATCCACGACTCTATCAGTGCCTTCGCCACCGATGACGAAGAGGTATCGTGTAAAGGAACCGCCATTGGCCAACGTGTAAAACGATCGATACATGTTAAGATATGCGTGAAAGAGTTCGATTGTGGAAGTGGGCCCACGATATCCACATGAATATGTCGGAAACGGGCTTCGGGGAGAGGAAAGTTGTAGATTGGGCTGCGGGTATGCTTTTGCACCTTGCTGGTCTGGCACGTGAGACAATTTTTGGACCAAAGGCGGACGTCCTGTCGAATGTTCTTCCAGACGAAACGATCAGTGATCAACTTCGTTGTGGAACGAATGCTCGGATGCGCCAATCCATGAAAATGATCGAANATCTTCCGGCGATATTCTTGTGGGACAAAAGGTCTCGGCTTTCCTGTCGAAACGTCGCAGTAGATCTGGGTATCAACATCTGGTAATGTCAAACATTCAAAGCGTAATGAAGGGTTGGAAACGATTTCCGTGAAATCGGGGTCTGACTTCTGTTCGGACGCCAAGACGTCCAGATCGAGCGAGGGAACGCCGATTTGGTTCAATTCCATACGCGACATTGCATCAGCTACAACATTACTAGCGCCGTCTATGTGACGAATATCACTCGTGAATTGCGTGATAAAGTCCAGGTGTCTCGTTTCCCTGGGAGAGTGGTGGTCTGCGGCAGCCTGAAATGCGAAGATTAACGGTTTGTGATCAGTAAAGATCGTAAACTGCCGTCCCTCCAGTATATGCTGGAAGTGTTTAACAGCCAAGTATATGGCCAGCAGTTCTCGACCGAATGTGCTGTAACGCATCTCGGTATTGGTAAGCCTCCTTGAGAAAAAGGAAAGTGGCTGAATGTCTCCCTTGACTATCTGTTGTAGGACTGCTCCGACGGCCACTTGGGAGGCATCGGTCTTCAGGACAATGCGTGTCGTTTTAGACGTATCTAGATGATTCAATGCAGTTGCCTCTGATAGTTGCTGCTTCACCAAAGAAAATGCTGATTCAGCCTCTGACGTTATCTTGAAATGCTTCGGGTTTCCCTTAAGCAAATCTGTGAGAGGTTGAAGGACTTGAGCACATTTCGGAATAAATCTTCTGTAATAGTTTACTATGCCTATAAAGCGGCGTAAACCTTTTACGGACTGGGGCAATGGATAATCCATGATCGACTGCGTCTTCTCTGTTAATGGCGTGATTCCACAACCATTGATATGATGACCCAAAAATTCGATTTCTGACAGGCCAAATTTGCACTTCTCGGGGTTGATCACGATCCCGTATTGCTGCAGACGTTCAAACACCTGTCTTAGGTGTTGTTTATGCTCATCCGAGCTGGAACTGGCAATCAGCACATCATCGATATATGTGAAAACGGAATCTAACCCACGAAAAACTTGGTCCATAAATCGCTGGAAGGACTGGGCGGCATTGCGTAAGCCGAAAGGCATACGTAAGTATTCGAACAAACCGAACGGTGTGATTACGGCCGTCTTTTCAATGTCCTCCGCATGCATGGGAATTTGATGGTAGGCTCGAACAAGATCGAGTTTTGAAAAAATGACTTTGCCATGCAGTTGTAACGAGAAGTCGTGGATATGAGGAATCGGGTATCGGTCCGGGACGGTGATTCGATTGAGGGCCCGATAATCCCCACATGGTCTCCAGTCGCCGTTTGTTTTTGCGACCATGTGCAATGGGGAAGCCCATGGACTGTTTGAAGGTCGAACGATGCCTAGTGTAACCATGCGTTGAAATACCTCTTTAGCCGCACGTAGTTTATCAGGATGCAGACGGCGAGCTCTTGCGAAGACTGGTTGTCCTGTCGTACTAATGTGGTGATGCACCCCATGTTTTGGTTCCAACGTTTCGAATTGTGTACGGAGGAGCGATGGAAATTCGGATAACAAATTAGCAAAAGGGTGCGTAGGTGGAAGGACGACATTAAGACCGAAAGTATTCTTGGGTTCTGTAGAACACCCCACTCGCGATGACGTGGCGTTATCTTGGAGGGTTCTGTCTCGTAGGTTCACTAATAACTGGAACTTGGTAAGAAAATCAGCTCCGATGATGGGATTTTTAACATCGGCGATAATAAAGGTGAAGGAAAACTTTTTGCGAAGGCCTAAGTCTATATTAAGAAACTTCCGGCCGTAGACGGCAATCTCAGAGTTGTTGGCTGCAACAAGTGGATTTCCAGTTGGTGTTAGGCCACGTTTTTCTAGTGTACGAGGAATGACGCTGACTTCGGAACCCGTGTCGACCAGGAATCTAATCTTTGAATTTCTGTAAGTGACATGGAGGAGGCGACTTTGAAAATGGCCAGGGTCAGAAGTCGCCCTTACTGCCTGGCGTTGGAGTTTTTTTGTGAGATCCTCTTTTGATATGTACAACCGGTAACGCACTTCTGGGCCTCGTCTCCGAAAGTCTTGTGGTAAAAACAGATGGAATTATGAAGCTTGTAGGGACTTCGGTATCGTCTTCTAGGTTCGAAACGTCGTCGCTCGCGCTCTTCAGGCTGGTTGCGTTGAGAAACAAGGTCTGCCACGATAAGCGACAGACTTTTTAGCTGTTCGTTAATTTCGTCAAATTGTTTGTTATCAGTACTGGTAGAATTTGAAGTCTTGACTGCATTAACGCCCGGCTTGTAATAACAGCGATGGACTATATCAGCCACTTCCGCTAGTTTGTCCAAGTTATCTTGGTTAGGGTGTGTGGCAACCGCCGCGGAGATGTGAGCAGGTAGGTTATTTCTCCATAAGTCCTTTATGAAATTGTCACCCAAATTATAAATACCAGTCAGGGATCGGATATGAAGCAGAAGTTCCGAAGGAGAACGATCTCCGAGTTCGACTTGGGACATTATTTGATGTAATTGGTCCTCTCGCGGAGCCGAAAAA